ATTCATAATATGAAAGTTAATTTCAAAAATGTATTTTAAAAATTAGAAATAGAATTGAAGAATTTTATTAAGAATGAAAATGTTTGTTACTGTTAGGCGAAGAAAATAAGCTAACATAATGTATCAGCTCCACTGCCAACAACATATTTTGTACCGTAAAGTTTGCTGAGTGCATTTGTTGCTTTCTTACCAATATCGTACTTCAACAACAACATTATTCGATAAAACAAATTAATAAGTAATATTTCAACTTTGAAATTTATCTCTATCGGAGAAATAGCTATTATCGAATTCTTTGGAGGAAATTTTTTTTTTTTTTTTTAGTAAATGAATTTATAATGCCAATGAATGAATGCTCATTAATTTAAGGAAAAATGAGGATGAAACAGTAAAAAAAATCAATGTGTGCATAGTTTTTTGTTTTCATTTCTTGAAAATTTTCTCTAGTATTTTAAAAAGAAAAAAAAAATTCTGTATTCTTATAAAATTCGAAAATTTTAAAGTAAAATTTAAAAGCGGACCAAATCCTGTATGTCACCAGGATAGGTGTCCTTACGATGACCGTATGGATGAATCCAAATTTGTGAATAAGTATGCAATGTTACAAAAGCATCAATACGACCGCGATAACGACTTGACATTATTGCATCACGCACAGCCCTCAAAGATTGTGCTCGATGATCATTTATTATCAGCTAATCTGTTTTGTTCATCGATTGAAGAGTGTTAATGATTAGAGTATAGCGGAAATCTCATATAAAATATGCAAGGAAAAGTTATACATAATGGTAAAATTAACTTGATAGAAAAGAATTTTTGAACTTTTAAATTTGTTCTGTTGAATTTTGAAAAAAATTCAATGTAAGAGATAATTATAGTGAGCATCTTAAAATTTGATTGATTAATATTTATTGCATTTTTTTTTATTTTTTAAGGCTTACAATAATATTAAAATAGGTTTAGAATTTTAAATGTCAGTAGAAGTATTTTGAAATTAAATTTTAATCTGTTGATAAAAATAACACGCAAACCTTGTTTCCGGTTCACTGAATGCTGATTTACCTTGATAAATTTCAGCGCATGGATCATCACTTGAACCGCTTTCTAGAATTTTCAAATTTCAAAATTAATATTTTACAATCATCAAATTTGATTTCAATTTGCAAAAACGTTACAATTTCACATATGAATGACAATATGCTTTCTTTAAGTAACATAAGAAACGAAAAGTTACGGCAACCAAATTAAAAACAGGAAATCTTTAAATTTTACCAAAATTATCCATCTTAATGATATTTTCCTAAATTTTAGGAAAATATCATTAAGATGGATCATTAACATCTATACTCCATAAATTTTGAATTACCTTTAAAATGAAAATCAAAATTTCGATTTAAATCGACGCCACGACAACAACGATTACGTCCCCATGAATCCTTTCCACAAACAAACGGTGAACGATTTTTGCGCCATAACCGAATCTGAAGTAGAAAATTTCCGTAGTTAAAGTACCACACTTCCGTTATGTTATATTTGACGTGTAAAACAGTTGATGGATTGTTTATCATGAAATGATAGCGTATGTTTTCACACGTTTTTGACATTAAATCAAATAACTAATTTTTTTTTTCTGCTAATGAATCTAATTTCAGTAATTAAGAAATGGACTAAATTGAAATCATTTTTGTGAATGCATCTATTAGTAATTTTGATGCTCAATTAATTTGTGTAAATTAATTATCAAGCAAATAAGTGATGAAAAAAGATTAAATTATTGCTTTCTTTTTATTTTCCACTTATAAATTGCTAACATTTGGATTTGTCGAGGATCGCGTGTATTCATATCCGTCAGGATTTAAGCATGGTATTATGACCCAGGTCAATTCATCAACATATTTCGTAATTTCTTTATCATGTCCATATTTCGATGTTAATTGATGAATGAAATATAACGCTGTATGTGGTGCAGCCCATTCACGTGCGTGAATACCGCCATCAATCCAAAATACTCGTTTGGATTGATTATTTCCACCAATCTAAAATTTATTTCATCATTTTTAAATCGGTCAAAAATTTTTTCAAATTACTAAAATGAAATTTGTAAGAATGAAAACAAAAATTTAAAAAATATCATTATTACAGATAAAATTGAAAAATAAAAAAATTGCTTAAAATTCTATGGTAAATTAGGCAG